CTTGTAATGTTATTTCATATTTTTTGTTACTTTGTTTACGGACTAAGAAAAAAAGACACCTCTGCAGTATGTTTCGGCGTTTCTTCCCAGAGTGAGTCTTAGGAAATGCCAACTCCTTCTAGCTGTAAAGTCCGACTTGTAGAAATATCTGAAAAGATTTACTTACAGAAATAAATATCAATTTTTTAAGAAATTCTTATATTAAACATAAAGTAAGTAGATGGGCAGTTTTCATTGTATATTTGGGGCCTTATTTATTTATATAGTAGGTTTACTAGAACTCTCTGTTACTGAGTGAAGCGAGATACTCGTATATGTATGTTTTTGTGAGGTAAAAGGTACCTCAGGAAATATTCCGTCGAACGACATTAAACGGCGAACGAATTTGCATGGGACAAGGCATTCAACTCCAATATTGGCGAGCAGGGACCAACTGACTTTTTTTGTAAAAACTAGTCTGTAAAAAGTGGTATAAATTTTCTATGTAACGTTTCCCATAGTGTTTTTAGGTTTAATTTCAACCAAAAAAGAAGGTAGATTATTTAGCTTTAAACATATTATTATTTTTCCTTTACTTATGTCGGATACCATATAATGACGAGTTCCGGGTGTTGATGGGGCTGCCCGGTATTGCACTACTTAATCATAAAAATGTGTTCAAGGCGAAGTGAGACTACTTGTACTATATTGGGACCTTATAAAGAACTTGACGATCGCCAATTACCTGTTATAAAAGACGTTATTAAGTGCATTTTATTTACTAAAGTGAATTAAAACTACAGGAAAACGGAAAAGATCCATCGAACACAGAAGTCTTTTCAATAGTTTTCTGGAAAACTTAACACAATTTGGACCAAAGCTTCAATTCCCATCGTTTCTAACGTACGGGTTACTCACTGCTAACCGCATATTTTAACAATATTTATCACTAATAAGATATCCTAAAAGTAAGAGAAACGATAGTTATGACAACAAAGTTAAGTGCTTTTTGGAATCGTCAAATAAGCTTTTGACATCGCTGCTTGTAAGTGCACTTCGTTTGAAAATTGTTCCTGCACTAAACCCAAAAAGTTCCCATTTCTGAAAGAGATTTTTTACTGGACCAAAGAAATGATAGGAAAATGGCAATAAGCGGCGTAGACGCAAAAGAAACTGCAAGGCTTTTAAAGAAACATCAAAGACAATAAATTTGAAGCGGACAAAGCAAGCATGTTTTCCGAGTACTTCACAAACCGATACTGTACCGGTACGCGTGTTGCCGCCTCGTTTCACAGTCGCTTTCAATAGAACCTTCTACTAAAAGTGACTTAAAGGAGTCTCCATCTAATTCATTTAGTCGGAACACTCTGACGCTGCCAACAGTAGCTAAGGTATGTGATCGATACGGACTATCAACGCGTTCGGCAGCTGCAGTCGCTTCAGCAGTCTTAGTTGACGTAGGAATGGTATCTTCCGAAGATCTAAACCTTGTGATTGATAAAAATAAGATTCACAGAGCTGTTTCAAAGTCACGTACCCAAGCCAGCAAAGACATCGATAAAATTATTATAAAGAGTATCTACTTCGATGGGCGAAAAGATAAAACTCTCAAGATCAATAAAATAGACAGCCGGTACCACCGAAAAGAAGTCTTAGAAGAACACATTTCAGTTCTTACAGAGCCGGGATCTATTTACTTGGGACATACGACGCCGAGTCGAGGTACTGCGAAAGGGATTGTCACTTCTATTATAGAATTGTTAGAAAATCAAGGATGGAACTTAGAAGAAGTAAGTTGTGTGGGTTGCGATGGCACTCCTACAAATACAGGTTGGAAAGGAGGTGTCATTAAATACCTGGAAGACTATTTGAAGAGACCGTTACAATGGTGTGTTTGTATGCTTCACACAAATGAATTACCGCTTCGCCATTTGTTTATGTCTCTAGATGGTAGCACATCTGGGCCGAAAGAATACTCAGGACCTATTGGAAAACAACTAAATGTTTGTGAAAGTAAACCACTAGTGTCTTTTTGTGCAGTGGCTGGCAATTTGCTCGAATTACCTGATGACATTGTGAAGGAACTAAGTACGGATCAAAGTATCTGTATGAAATGTGTCATGCTGTGACGACTGGTTCTTGTTCCCCTCAGTTAGCGAGCCGCCAACCTGGAAAAATGGCATACTCAGACTTTATGTAAGTACTGTTTCGCCATCAAATAATTTAAAGCTGCTTGTCAATTATGTGGTCAAAGTTTATGCTCCAGTTTGGTTCCTCATTAAGAAAAACTCATCATTCAAAGATGGAGCCAATCATATTTTTCAAAAAAATCGGGAGTATGCATGGTTACATACTCCCGATTTTTTGCCTGATAAGCAAAGATCTATTGTGAATTCAGTGATCGAGAGAAACGCTTTTTTTGCTCACCCTGAAAACTTACTTGTTACCATGCTATTCGACGACAGAGAGCATATTCGAGAGCTTGCAGCTCGCAAAATATTAAAGGCAAGAGAAGCAGAAATAAGCAATACTCGCAGGGTATTTAAAGTACCAAAACTTAACTTCGATGCGCGATATTACATCGATTTGATATTTTGGCAAGAGTGTGAGATATCCGCTCCACCGATTTTGCGACAGATGTCGACGACAAACTGAGAATTAAGGCTAGGCATCCCTGGTGCGCTGTGTGAGGGCCAGCCCCAACAGCATTTGACGTTGCATCGAAAGCAGGCTTGTCTGTGTGTATGTGAACCGCTGCTGCAGGCTTTCTACCTCAATTGTGAAGTTGTGGTAAGGATTCACATAATATATATACATGATGTATATATTAACATAGTTTGTAAGAAAATTTATTATTACTAACCAAATGAGTGAAATGTTAATCAAATAAATAATTTATTAAATATATGTACTTAGTTAGATAGGTAGACTATCTTTTACCATGAATTTATCAACCTATCTCATCTTGATATTTGCTATAGGCAGGTGGGTGTTTATTTAGGAACATCCTTTAATTGTGTGCGTTTATTCACTTGTACGTAAATTACAAAGCAGGTTGCACTGTAAGGGTACCTAGTCACTGGTTGAAACGTCTTCGAATTTATAAGTAAAAAATTACATAAACCTATCACTTAATCGCGTTAATTCCCATAATTATTATTTCATTATTGTTAATAAGTCCATAACTCAAAGGAAAACAAACTTCTCTATCTATATAGGATAAAATAAAAATCCTAGGTGTGGAAAGGAATTACTTTCAAGACTGGAGCATAGGCTGTGTAACATCATTCAGAGCATACCCAGCTAACATTACGACAAGATATATAATTTTTTGTTACAAAGATATCTAATTTGATATAAATCACTAAACATTTATGTACATAATAATATTATATAAGCAAACGAAAAAGAGAGAAAATAATTCGAAAAAAGTTATGACTACGAATCCTTGATTGACAAAATTTTGTAAGTTTTGCGCTTTTATTTCTGACGATAATCGTTCGGACCATAGAGATATAAGCATAAAGTGAACAAGAGCCCATCTTGCAAAATAGGCAACGAGACAGATGGATAATAGATAGTTCCCTCTATCTCTTTTTAGTCCAGCTCTGTGGTTGGCTGGGGAAATTTCTAATCTCCCGCCTGTTCTACTATCAAAACCATGCCCACTTCACAATAGCTAATCGCAGCTTAGCTAAACACAGATAGAGGACACTATCATACATTATATTGATCATGATCTATTTAGTCATCAATTCGTCAATTTTACAAAAGTATTAAGACAATAAAAATATAAAAATACCGAGTTATAAAGCACAAAATCGGTTTATTATTAAACGAATACCCATAACACAGATAGATGTTTAATAAAAAATTTTGTCCGAAGATAAGTCGGTTTCGATTTTTATACCAGAAGACCAACCCTTTTCAAAGCGGTTATTAATATCATAGACATTTTGTGTCATCGATTGTTTAATGGTGTTTTAATGTACCCAATTAAATGCACTTTTTATAAATTGCCAAATTATAAACAATTTTCCAAATAACATTAAAATTGTTTATTAATTATCAGTGAATTTATAATTACTATTAAGGTACTTCAACGTAATCGGAAGCTCATGCCAACTATTGCATTCAACTAAAGAGAATTCATAAAATCGGTAGGTATACAGTACCTATTTAAATATTTATGTACCTATCTATTATCTATCGTGTGTAAAAGTAAAAGCACTGCTTTACCTACAGAAACTTTGAACTGTCAAAATAAGTACATCCCGCCGCCATCAGAGGCGCTTCTGTCGGCGTTTTTCTCTATCCTCTATTGTTTATGACAATTACAAGCTTCACACCGACGCGTCACCGTCGGATTTTATTTTAATTTTATAAATATAAGTGACAAAGAAAATTGTGATAAGTGTGATTTTTATACACATCTTGGTGATAATATTAGTGTTAAGATTTGTTAAGTTATTGTTGCACCGTGGAAAACGAACGAGGTAAGAAAGTTGAAACTCGGTTGTCGGAAGATATTGTTTGGGATTTCTGGGATCGATAACCTGGTCGGCTAGCCATGAGGCGCGACGCTGAGGTTATGTCGCGAGCCGCGAACAGGTATTGAGAGTTCAAGTAACGGTCCCTTCGTCCGGAGCGACTCGACTCGTGTTACAGCCGCAGAATCCGGTCGCACCTAAGACCAGTTAGTTCATAATAGCGTCTAGATCCTCACTCGCCGTCCTCATTCCGTTACGCTTGCCACCGATAGTCACTGTAAATAAATATCGTTATCGGCTTCGCTTGTTAAAAAGGAAAAGTGCCCATGCCCCAAACCTTTAGATCGCTCGAGACCTGTGGACGTTCCTTTTGAGATGTGCGCCTGTTTTCCAGCTTACCCTGCCTGCAGTGCGTGCCACGAGCCCCAGAGTCCCAGCCATTAGATTGAGTGGAGTGTCCCCTGTGTCCGCACACACGTAGTCCCGTACGCAGTCAAAATTCCGCGAGACACAACGGACACCTCCTCCAGCATGGAACTGGAGAAAGCCCCTACTCTCCACGAGGAAGACTCCAAAGTTACCCTCACTATCAGACTGATTATGCAGGGGAAGGTAAGAGATAAAGCACTTAAAACCTTATTTTTTAATTGGCACTGTTAATTTGAAACTTTTTGAATTTATTTTAAGCTTTGGAAGTGTACATTACCTTCTTCTAAATTTTAATAATAAAATTTTAATGAAGTTCTTAGTAGATTATATTATCAGTGTGGTTCTGAATGTTGTTACTGTAGTTAGTTATGTGTTTGTATATTGCTTGTGTAAACTCATTAATTTTATCAACATTGAACCTATTTATGACATAACCCTTTAGGTTGTCAATATTATTAAAATTAACAACTTGCAAACTATTAACTTATGCTGTATAGATTCTTCTATGCTATTATGATAGTAGGCCAAAACCTCCTTCTAAGGGGAGGCCTATGTCCAGCAGTGGACTATTAAAGGCTGTTGATGATGATGATTATGATTAATAAATACATAAAATATATAACATTCATGCATTCATAGTAACTTCCTACACAATCTAGTAATTTATTCAAATGACTTCAGACAGACAGTCAAAGAGTTTGTTTGTTTTTTTATTTGAACATATGATAATCTAATATAAGTTTGGTATTTCAATCTTGTTAAGTAACACACTTGTATGGATGCTCAACACTGTCCTGTTTGTATAACCATGTATGCGAAACTAGGCTTTCGTTTTATTATTTCCAACAAATGTTTATTAGTTCAGTAATTTATTATATTACTTATGTTACAGTTAATAAATTCAATTGCAATTTATACATTAAATACAGTTCAAAGGTGCATAAGCTCTGATTTGGCAGGTTAACATTTTATTTGCATGATATAATTTGCATCCGTTTTATTTAAGCTTACATTGCTCAACGGCATTAGTAATTTAGCACACCTAGATGTCGCTAGATTGTACTGACATGTGAGATGTATTGATGCTAACATTCATCTATAGCCGCTATTACATTTAGGTGCTTTTAATTGGCCATAATCCAATACAAAGTACATTTGGCACAAGGCCAACTATTGGCACTCGTCCTGTTCATCAAACTTGTCGATTTGTACCTTTTTCTAATTGGAGTAATGTGTGATATTTAATGTGGTCTTTGTGTTCACCAGGCACTTCCTTGTTCACATTTTGTCTGGGATTCCGTTTATTTTTAATTCAATTCAACTATTTTGGTTACCTTTTGCCCTATTTAACTTGTAAGCATATTCATAAGATAAATGTTGATTTTACTAACAAATGTATTGTTTTTATAGCAAATAGTGGCACACAAGCTTTTAAATTGCTGTTATTTTTAACATTTATTCCTCAAGAAATAGTAATAACATTACTTTTTAATACACATTACATTTATGTATTTATTTTGGTATAGAAAAATAGCATAAGTGCATTCTTAGAGATTATACCTATTTAGATAGATAAACTATTTACTTAGATAAGAAATACACTTTTCTCTCTTATTTCAAATCCTTAATATCTCCGTCTTATTAGTAAACAATTTGTTTAATAAAAAAAAAACAAACATAGTAAGTATATTTATTTTATATAAAAATATAATACATTTCATTGATATGACTGCAAATACATAAAATCAAATACTTAACACTCTACCATTACTTACCAGTAAAGTGTTTAGTAATAATTCATAGTCTCACTATAACCACTGAAATGCATTAGAGTTTATTTACCACTCAATAACTTGTTTAAATTGAGTGCTTTCAAAAACAATTGTTGCTATTTTTATTGTATAGACAAAAAGTGTTGAGCAACAACATAGCTCACATTCTGCAGAAGTCAAGACGCTCTGCCAGGATGATACAACATGTACACTCTAAAACTGTCTCATTGCAACTCCGATACATCTTAGTGCAGCAAAGAATCTATGCAAACTATTATTGGCTACCAGACAGGAACTCTTTTGTACTATAAATCTCATCGCGACTGCATTAATTACGTGTGCGTGCGCCCCGTTGCACAATACTTGCCAATGTACTGATCCCTTTGGTTATTTTTGAACAGCAATTTAATTTTATGTTTTGTTCTTTGCAGGAAGTTGGCAGTATTATTGGCAAAAAAGGAGAGATTGTTAAACGGTTTAGAGAAGAAGTAAGTTATGATGGTTTCTACATTAGCGGACGTTTACCGATATGATTTTTATCGAAAATTTATTGAACCATGATTTCAAGTTAAACGATTTTATAATCGTCATAATATATATGTCTATTTTTTCCCAACATCGATTTGTTTCGGATTTCTTTAGTAGTATCTATTTTCACAATTTGCCAATAAGATTTTTTTTTTGAAAAGCTTGACTTTTTTTTGAGAAATCGATTCTACCTTCGGCTCATTTAATGAGTACCAGTTATAATGAGTTGCTATAGTTAAAATATAAAATCCGCGTTTTGTTTTTCAGTCTGGAGCGAAAATCAATATATCAGATGGATCATGCCCAGAACGCATTGTCACTGTTACTGGCAACACAAGTGCTATATTCAAAGCATTCACACTTATTTGCAAGAAATTTGAAGAGGTTTGTATGCCATTCAATTTATCCACTAATTCTTTGTCCCACTTATTTAGCAAATTTCATGAGAAATATGGAATATAAAAAAATTAAGTGTGTAGAATCCTATTTTTTTTATATGTGAAAATGAATGAATGTGTATAGATTGATCATGGTATGAAACGTTAATACAATGAAAATTTGAGCTCTTTAGTATTAATAAGTTCACATCACTACATTTTCATTCAATTTAATTGAGTAAAGTTGTAATTAAGCTATTTGTAAGAGGTAGGATTCGACATGTGCAATTGTATAAACACCCTAATAATAAAAAAAGAAATAAAAATAAGTTAGATTAGACAATTATATTAAAGACTAATTTAACTTAAATTGCAACTTGCAAAGTCAATAAATAATTTATTTATGAAAAGGGTCTTAGTGTGTAAACGGACTTACTACATCATCTGCCTACCCTTTTCCCAATTTTATTTAAACGGACTTACTACATGTGAATATTAATAATAACTTTACATGGTAGTCTGGTCCCAAACTAGGCAGAGCCTGTACTATGGTAACCAACCTGCTGATAAACATACTTATATATTTATTGTAGATAAATTACACCCACACATCATATGTGATTACTGTTAGGCTCGCACTTTTTAATAAGAATGTATATTAATATTATCCTCCAGTGGTGCTCGCAGTTCAATGAAGGCGGCGGCGGTGGATCACGCGCACCCATCACACTTCGGCTCATCGTGCCTGCATCACAGTGCGGTTCGCTTATTGGCAAGGGTGGATCCAAAATCAAAGAAATTCGTGATGTCACCGGTGCAAACATTCAGGTAACTTCACAATTCATAGTTCTTCTTTTAAATCAATGGATCCATCGGATATCAATGATTTTGCCAGTCAGGGTGGGAGATAGATTTATTAGTTTTCAGGTTAAAAATATTTGGAAGACCAAGAGGGACATTTATAGTTAACACTTTGTTTGTTATTTGACAAAGTTGTCATCACCATATAAATAAATTTACACAGTATAGTAATAATAACACATCTCACACACAGTCTGATCCCAAATTAGGCAAAGGTACATGCTTTGCCTACAGAACACTGATAAACATACCTATATATTTCTAAGTACACATTACAGATAAATTACACCCAGACACAGAGCAAATGATCATGCTCATCACATAATTATTTGTCCTGGGTGGGAATCGAACTCGAGGCTTAGCAGTCAGTGTCACTAACCACTAGACCAACACACCATTGATTATAAAAATTATGTGCTTGATTGAAGCATTCCAGATACAGTTTTCTTTTATTGCTAAAATGAAAATAGCTATCGACAGATTAAATGCATAATATATATACAGAGCTTGTACAGGTTCAAGCAGATGGCTGGTTTTAACGCCATTTGTTTACATTATTCACACAAAAAGTACATCTCATCTTCCACAAACTCATAAAACGGATAGTTGTTACAAAAATAGTCAGTTTACTTTTTCGCTCCTAACAAATTTAGGTAAAATATACTTTAATTTGTAGTAATACTGCATCCAAAGGTCAGACAGTATTCCATGGAATTCCAAAATTATATCATAGACATCTACTATTGTAAGATTTTTGCCAAAACCAAAAAAATCAACAAATCAGTACATACTGAACCAATCTGTAAAAAAACAGTATACTAGCGTCCAGACAGGATATAGCGCATTCACCGAACTTGACACTCACACACTCACAACAGCCTATTTAATCTAAACTCAATCCGTGAATCTGTTTTTTTTTAAATATAAGTAATTTTGGTCTTTACTTTTAAAATTATGTTAAAGGGTATAAAACATGCCTGATTTATCCATTTATTCAATGCTGTTATAAAGAACAGTGCTATTTTACACCGTTTTAGATATAATCATACTCTAAAAATCTGTCTGACAGCTTCGGTTTAGAGTCTATTCTCAGTGGTAGAATAATATTAAATTGTTGGCACTTGTCCATCAGTTGAATGTTTTACTGAGATGTTTAATCTCAATAGTTAATTAAGTTAAGTATACCTAAACGTGAGGCAATTTAAACGTATGTAATACCTATAACGGGTATCTTTAATTTCTTTACGTACATGTAATTCTATGGGGAATGCGAAAGTTTATAAGTTGAGTAAGTATAAAGTATTACTTAAGTGCCTGCCAAACTAAGTTTTTATGCCACTTGTATACCACTAAGCAGAGTTTGTACTATGGCCATGCGGACTAGACAACCGATTAAAATACATATATACTTTTTTTTCGTGACTACAATATTATAAATAGAAACACCCAGACCAAATCAAAAATTAACTGTTTACGCACACAAAGGTTTGAATTAAGCGGGATTCGAACGTCGCATGTTTGGCGTAGCAGTCCGTTATATAAACCACTACGCCATCTGACTGTTAAAGGGAATTGAGTTTTGTCCAGTTTGTCCAATTTTTTGTTTGCAGATCTCTAATTTGTGTATAAATTTATTTGTTTTAGGTGGCAAGCGAAATGTTGCCTAACTCGACAGAGCGAGCAGTGACAATCAGTGGTACCTGCGATGCAATCACACAATGCATTTACCACATTTGCTGCGTCATGCTAGAGGTACGTTACACCTACATACATACGACTTACACTCACGACTTTTTTAAACGTAACGACCACATTTTGCTGATTTTGAGTCCCACATACATAGGACTTACACTCACGACTTTTTAAAATGAAACGACCACATTTTGCTGATTTTGAGTCCCACATGCATAGGACTTACACTCACGACTTTTTAAAATGAAACGACCACATTTTGCTGATTTTGAGTCCCACATACATACGACTTACACTCACGACTTTTTAAAACGAAACGACTACATTTTGCTGATTTTGAGTCCCACATACATATTTATTAGGGAGTACTGTAACAAATATATCATATACCTGTATCTAATCTACCATTTATTTGCGCAAAATTAACACATGGAGTGTGGTGCAATTCTTTATTGAATATGAGTTATGTAATGACAAAAAAGTCTTCCGTCTTCTTGTTTCTACCGTGGGAGAGTCATGAGATGGCTCTCATGACTTACTCTCAGACACATACTGGAACAGGCAGAGACGATAGAACGCCATTTGCCCAGACTCTGACTCAACTTACTTTTCTTCAACATACTACACTTTTACAGGTGGTATGTAGAAGAAAAGTTAGTGAGGTCATTTTTCAGTATACTGCCAATCTAATCGGTATAAGTTTTTGGGGGCCAACTGGTTAGCGCAAATTAGTTTTAAATGTTCCTACAGTAAACTTAAGTCTAGAAAAAAAATATCTTCAGATACTGTTATTAGTAAATTTCATGCAATGTTCCTTGTTCTAGAGCCCACCAAAAGGAGCTACAATCCCCTACAGGCCAAAACCAAATGTAGCTGGTCCTGTGATTCTAGCTGGAGGACAGGCATACACTATTCAAGGAAATTACGCTGTTCCAGCACAAGATGTAAGTGACAATTGTTATTACTTTTTAAAAGTAAGAGGGCAATTCATTATTCCAAAAAATGTAAAATCAAATCATTCTGTTAAAGATTAAAAAAAACGAAGATAACATCCATAAAGCTTACTTAAAGAAAATTTGTATCTCCAATCCCCTTGCAATGGGGAGATATGTTAAATATTACCATTAACCTAATCTCATTTATTTGAGCACTTTTCGTGTATGCACTTATCATTCATACTTCTATCCTTCAGATTCAAAATCTAGACTAATTTTTATAGATATAATTTTCATTTATATGCGACAAGGTAAGATGTAAATTTTTTATAGACGTTAATCATCTATCAATAATTTACTTCCTACTCACGTGGGTATCTATACCGGGGATGCCTCTTGAAATGGCGTACTTTGTATCATACAATAATAATTATATCATGAATATGATTAATATTCACATGTTATTAGTGAACGTGAATTAAATCATCCAATCCATTTTATTTTTGATAATTATTAATCGAGACAAAAGATGTCCTCCATTGGGGTCGTACACGAGTAGAGGATTCGATTCCGGTCGATTTTTATAATCCCGGGATTTCGGGATTATCTACAGTTAATCTCGGGATCCCGGGATTGTATTGGCAATGGAAAGTGGTAACAAAAAGACAGTAAAACATATCAAAATAATTTTTTTGTTTATCATTTAGTTTTGTGAGGACATAAAATATTTAAGTTTTAAATCTCCAAAAAGGCGGTTAACCAAAATTATACTTTCTTCTTATAAAATAAACAAACTAGGCACGCGGTAAATAATTTATGAAACTAACAATAAACTTAAAAAAATCAACTTCTTTAGACTTATTTAGATAAACTATAAAAAAATCTATATGCTTAAGAGACCAATGTTTATAGATACCTACTCATATTTTTTAATTAAATTGCCCAGAAACTTTATAGATTACACACTTTTACGCTTAATCCAGAACCGGTCATTAGCAAAAACAAATGAAATCAGCTGTGTAGACAAGATGGCTGTCAAAACATCAAATCAAGGCAATTGCGTTTCTTTTTACGCACATTTTTATCGACTTATGTAAAAAATGTATCAATCCCGAAAATCACGGGATTCATTAAATTTGGTCCCGAAAATTTCGGAACTAAAATATGACCGGGATCCCGGGATCTCGAAATCCGGGATCCCGGGATCGAATCCTCTATACACGAGTCTAGGTCTCGTGGGTCGGGCGGTGAGGCTAGGAATGGAGAGGGTGCGGGTAGGTAGGGCGCAGTGGCGAGTGTAAGTTGGCTGGGTGCAGGCGGTGTGCGCGCCCGTGTTCCCCCTGGCGCTGGAGGTGAAGCCGCCGCTGGTGGGCGCGCTGCCGCCGCACCACCTGCTGCCGGCGCCGCTGCACGAACACCACCTTGTGAGTGCGTCCCAGTCGCCACCTCATAGAGATGTGCCCCTGTCTCTCGTGTCCCGCTGCGACCGTATCTATTCTCTTCCCTCTAGATATTCTTGTATTGAATATGTTTTTCCGAAGTATGCTAAACTGAACACACCGTAATCTCGAGTGTCTTCCGTCCCGGTCGTATCTGAACTTTCTCAAGTATTCCTAGAAACTTTCTTCTCTATGAGGTTGCGTAGTAGCCGAGTGACATTATGTGATTGGTGCTGCCCCCGAGTCCCCTCGATTGGATGTGTGGTGTCGAATCCTCGTAGTGGACCGAATTAACATTGTACATGAATAGTTTTAGACCCCCGGTGATGCGGAGTGTAGAAATGTATTCCGTTTTATTTTGTGCTGTTATTTTACGCCTCACGCTTGTGCCATGAATATATTCTTTCTTGTTTGCACGTATCCCCTACTTGGTATGAGTCTTGTATAAATTTGTTACCCCATGTATCGATCCGTAGTAACTAGCGTTTAATACTTTAGCACTTTGAATTATATGTAATATTTGGACGATGTGTCTTGAGACACTTTACGCTCAAAGCTTTATCTGTTTGTTTTCTGGCATTTCCAAAATACGAGCGTAATTTACTTCAACGTCGCTCGTATACACGATCATTTATTATTTTTATACAAGTGTTCCTGTATTTGCACCCCTCCCTATTTTGCCTTCGCCCTGCCTTTTCCATCATTTTAATTTTTACTATCCACACGAGAAATAATAGTGGTGTTTAACCATGGACGCGCATGGCTTAACGTAATAAAATTATATTTATACTATAGAATACAGTAATTTATGCCATTTTCATATTGTAAAGGTGCATTTTCGTGGGCAGCACCAGTCAAGTACTCACAACGTGGAACTTTGGAAAATTCGCAAAACCTTTCAACGCCGCCTACAGTAAAGAAAGCACATTCGATTTTAATATTAAAGCACTAGTGTTCAAGTATGAAAATCGAGTGTGACTTTGAGATTCGAACATCGTTAAATTTAAAAGTTTGTGAATTTTCACGGTATTTAATATTTACTTTGTAAAATCGAAGTTTTACCCAGGTGACCACCCTATCCAGCGATCCCATCCCGGCCATGTCCGAGAAGATGAAAACAAGCAGCTGGAGCTATTATATATTTAAAATTTATATTAATATGCAATGGATATTTTCTAAGTCTATCTTTTTCAGTAAAAACTACTTACCACCGTAGTGTACATTTTTCCTGTTTTAGTATTAATTATTTTTTAATTTACATGACCTTTTGAGAAACCTACCTATTCAGTAGAGTAATTTAGTACCGAATATATATAATTCTGTAACTTATGTATAATGAAATAAATGAATATACTTTTATAGATTAATATACTAAAAGTTTTTTGAAGAAAAGAAAAACAATATGAAATTGTACATCATGTTTGGTGTGGGTAAACTAATATATAGGTACCAGCACGGATCCTGAGCGCTCGGCGGCAAAATTGGGATCACTTTGCGCATCGTGCACTTATGGCAAAATAAAATGCACCCATTTATTATCATTTATTTTTTTCTTATTTAGAATAAAATAAAAATAGACCAAAACCATGAAAAATTACGTAGTAAAGTTACTACGTAACTTATTATTGGTTCTATTGTAAAAATGGTTATAATTATTATTTTTCCTCTAAAATTATTATATTACGGTGAAATAGGAGTGACACTTTCCATTAAATCAATTTCTTATATAAAGCTAGTACTAGTACTGGTACCATTTCTTCTTCATCGTCACTTCACTTATTGTGTTATAGGTGCATATTAGAGAATACATTTCGCTATCTAATACACTCACATAAAAGTAGTACTACCAGAAAGTTTAATTGATGAAGGACGAAAGTAGAAATGATTAATAAAAGTCCCTATTAATTTGTTCGGAAGTGTACTCGTCGTAGTTAAGTACGAGAAAACGAATCAGGAGCCGCGACAATATCGGTGAGCCAATCATCACTTGCCGATGTTATGATTTAATTGGTCTCCCGTCCTACTTCATACCAACAAAGGGACCCAAAAATCGAGTTCTGCGCAAGTGAAGGTCAACGCCCAAGATCGGTGCCGGTACCTATACACAATATTTGTTATCGTTATTAAATAAGTTTGTAATGTTTACAATAGATGGGAGGACTGGCCAAATCACCTCTAGCTGGCTTAGCTGCGTTGGGTCTCGGAGGTCTTGGGCCGGCTAATGCCGCTGGCCTTAACCCTGCAGGTAACTCAACAATTCACGTATTAAAACGCAGTCTATTTTTCCACGACCTTTCACAAATCATAAAGCTTTTGAGTATATTATTAAAAAAGCTGCTCTCTCTGTGAGCACTTTTCTTCGAAGTTTATTTTCATCATAAACAGATCCTAATCAACTTGAAGCATTAACCTCTATTATACATACTTGTATAATATAGGTCGCGCTAGCGTGCTAGCGCGTCTTTATTGCGTTTTAATTGACTTGAAGTATTTGACAACAAGGATGTGCTTTAATTTAATCTGTGGTTTGTATTTGAAAAAAGTGATATTTTTTTTCATACAAACCACACTGCACTAGACACTACACACACTATAGTTACTGTTTTACAATTTTTTTCTCTCTATTAGCATCTTTCTTATGCCATAAAGAAATCATGAAACAAAAATAGCCAGATTAGTCTACCCGATCTCGAGTTCTGAGCTTAGCAACACATTTGGCCATTCATTTTTATTTAAATAGATATATTACTCGATAAGTCTTTTAATGCATTGAGTTGAAATATATTTTAATTTAAAACAAATTGTTAGATTCTTTTGAAAATATACTGATTTTCACTGAACAGGGGTCGCATAGGACATAAAAGGCTATCGAGTACATAATCTCAGCTAGATTTATAAATAACATTAGTTGAACTATAATTAATGGTGTATATAAAACTTCTGATCTCACAGCGTTAGCAGCATTGGCGGGTTCACAACTGCGCACTTCTAACCAGTCGCGCAACCAGCCCGCTTCTAACCAACAGTCTCATGAGATGACCGTTCCAAATGAGCTTATTGGGTGCATCATTGGCAAGGTAATTTATTAAACCTATTACATTTTAGTAGAGGAGTTCCGTGTGGTGATAAATTAAGAATAAAGGCGACTAAGGGAGCAAACTACGCATGGCAACAGAACTGCAAAGAGAAGAAAACTTGAAACAAAACCCATACCAATCTTTCTGGCCCGCGTAGTATAGTAGGCCAAAACCTCTTTTCTAAAAAAATGCCTGTGTCCAGCAATAGACTGTTGACGTTGATAGGATTTAACTAAAGTATAGTATAGAAATGTATGTATGTCGGTTGTAATACGTGTCTATTATAAACGCTTCAACATTAGTGAATGGTAACGTATGCGACTGCTGTGCTGAGGTCTCGGGTTCGATTCTCGGGTCGGAAAAAATAATAGAATGCCCGCGACTTCGCTTGTGTGATTATTTCTTATTTCGAACTTTAAAAAATAACGGACTCTCATACAACCGTTCATCCCTTATTTTACCCCCTTAGGGATAATATTTCTAAAAATCCCTTCCTAGTGGGTGGGTGTTTACAACATAAAAGCATTAGCTGCCAAAATTTCGAGTATGTAGCCACAGCAGTTTAGGCTAGAGGTGACCCTCTGAAAAGCTCCATTGCCCTTTTCAGCACAAAAAAAAGTACTGTAGTGTTATGCAGTATTCTCTGCTGTTTCTAAAAACTATGATTTCTTTATTCCAGGGCGGCACTAAAATTGCTGAAATTCGACAAATTTCCGGCGCCATGATCCGGATATCTAATTGTGAGGAACGCGAGGGCGGCAGCACTGACCGCACCATCACCATTTCTGGCAACCCCGACTCCGTGGCACTCGCCCAATATCTCATCAACATGAGGTGAGCTAGATCATCGATATTATTTGATAAATAACGTGTGTAAAGTCTCCTCCTTACAATATTTCCATCCGAATCTCCACTGGAGTATTATTTTGTCCATACAAACTCTTGCCTAGTCCATTTCAAAGTTCGATTTTTTTGAAATCCTGTAATATTCCTCTGACTTATCAACCTTATGGGCCATTTCGGAAAAGTTTCTTGTCGATACGAACTAAACTACTGGCGTCTGACTCGAGTTCCAAGAAGTAATAGTTCAAAATACGGAAGTATTACAAGAAAATGTAGGCTTAAAAATAATTAATATTTATCGTGAAATAAGACATATGTAAGATATATCAATAGAAAAAACTTAATTTAATTATTATTATTTAGTATACAAAATATCTGTTAAACATCCAGATTAACGAAAACAAAAAATACACAAAACATGACAAATTAAGAAAATAAGAAAAGTACGAATACTGCAAGTGTAATCCGGCGGTTGTGTGATACCGGTGTTGTCTGACATATAACTGTAAATAACTGATAGATTTCACTATGAAATACCATATCCCAAACCTAACCATTTTCAAGATATATTAGACTTAAGATTTTTGTAAAAAATTGAAGAAATTTTTCTTAATACATTTTTTTTCGTTTTGTCACTTTTTTTCTATGACGAATCATTAAATAAATAGGACAGTTGAGATGCAGATGTTGTATCTAACAAGGTCTAATCTATAGTAGTCTAAAAAGTAGCGTTATTAAAAAAAAAACTTAGATGAATGACCGGAAGTATTAAGAATTGACGTATAACCCGGTAGTACCCAGTAAAAATATTGTATTTTTGGACTCTTTCCTTTTCAATTCATTGCTAAGCTTAGCAACAGCTAACTGGACCTTCATTTGTGCTTCTGATACTGTTAAAGATTACGACCTAGACGAACGAGGAATATGCTGATATTCTGATTTGTTACGGATAATGCCAATGCGTATCCGCACGAGATATCAACCTTCTCCAATCCACTTATTACGAGAATTAGAATCCAGCCATTCTTTGACTCTTCTCCTGTAATGCTCAGGGCAATCATCATACTGACACTAAATGAATGATATTAAGTGGTAAACCATTAAGTAAGTTAAATTTTGTGCTTAAATAGGTTTTGTACTGTTCTCAGGGAGAAAAAAAGATGCTATCAAATTGAATTTAACATCACATTCAAATTGAAGCGTCTTTGTGGCCCCTTTATCCACATAATATTAGGATTTATCAGTGCTTTTGGGCCAATAATTAACCCTGAGGTAATTAATTAATTTTACCGTTTTTATCAAATTTGGACTCAAGTCCATGAAATGTCTCAGAATCAAAATAACGGGTCTTCTTAATCTGCATTAAGTATAAAACTGTAGAAATCCAACCTTTTCAAAGTATGTCCTTCTTCAGTAACTTGTACTAGTGGCGTATAGTAATTTGTGTATTTTACACACTTGTGCACACTGTCCACTGTGAGAGTCTAAGTTCGAGGGCAACAATATTGGTTTAAGTTGTTGGATCCAGTCTAAATCGTTGAACTATCTCGTTGTCTCCTTCGTCATCGTCATCAGTGAAACGTGATCTACCTAGATCAGGTCGTCGCCAACAGAGCCGGTCGCTCTTAAGTTGTCAATAGGCTTCGTCCAACACAATAACATCTATTTATCCACGAGTCCGTGCGGATACGCATTGGCAGTATCCTTAAGAAATCAAAATATGAATCAATCAAAGTTCAGTTAGTAATGGTTAGTCACGAATAGAAAACGAAATACTCCAAAAACACAAGTCAAGTTTTCAACTCGGTATTACCGGGTTGTACGCTAATTCTAAACACTCCCGGTCTTTCATCTATGTTTTTTTTATGAATTTTGATACTATCCTAGACTTACACCAAAATATGTACGTATGTATTGTCAGCTATCTGAAAATACATACGTACATATTTTTTAACAAATCTGCAGTTTAACTGTCAAAGTTTTTTTATAATATTGACAAAGAAAAAAATCTTCTACAATTTTATTTATTTTTGCTATTATTAATCATCTACTTCGGCCCAGTTTGTTAACTACAACTTTAGTTATGGAAATTGTAAAACAATGCATCAACTACACAAAAACAGTAAAATAATACTTATAAGTTAAAAAAAAATTGTATCAGGCAAAATTTCTGCAATTCTTATAAAAAAGAACTTAAAAGTCTAATATCTTGAAAATGGTTAGGTTTGGGATATGGTGTTTCATAGTGAAATCTATCAGAAATGATGGCAACTACAATCCTTTAAAGTATCTAGGTCGGCTTAATCAGTAAGCCTGTATAGTATATAAACAACTCACCTACCCGCCGTCTGACCCAACCTTAATTTAGACATTGTAGAATTGTATTTTTCTGGCTTTGTCCGTGTCAATTATTTGATGGGTATTTTTGCTATTTAATTAATAATGTAATACGTACGTTCACATAGTGCTACGAATTATCACGTGAACCACGTCATATCGACAGCCGATGTTTAGTTGCAAAGTGCATACGTAACTCGAGTCAGCGTCAAACTCGCGTCCTGTAAAACGAACGGTACGCTCGAATAGGCCCAGACGGGCGCCTGACCCTTACATCATTCCTGTCCCGCTCCGGCAGTGTGGAGCTTCAGAAGGCGAATCTGGAGGGTAGCTCGGGCTCGGGCGGGAGCGCGGGCTCGTCGGGGGCCAGCCCGCTGGCGTCCGCCATCCCGCTCGCCCAGCTGCTGAGCAAGTCGGGTGCGCTGGGCGCGCTCAGCTCGCTGTCGGCGCTGGGCGGGCTCACCGACCTGCTCAGCGGCTCGGCGCAGCCCGTGCAGACCACGGGCGTGCACCGCAACCACAAGTCCTTCAGCCAGCGCCGCCAGGACGACGACGCGCCCGCCAAGACTTCCAAGGAAAGGAACAAGTACAACCCGTACTAGGCCCGTCGCCCCATTAGCCCGCCTCGGACGTTTGTTTAGGACTCTGTTCGCCGCGACCGAGTGACGCGTTCCGTTTGTTACTTCCGAATCATGTAACTACAGTTGTCATCGAAGGTTTTATTTCAATCGTAAAGGATCGAGCTACCTTATTGTGCCTCGTTATGGTCGTTATTGGTGCGCGAGCACCCGTGACGTGGGCCCCGTCGACTCGACCACCGTTTGCCGAACCTATATTTTTCAACACATCTGATGCAGTTATCTTTATCGTTTAGTATTACTTTTAAGATTAAATAAAAGAAATTCTTTTATTTTTTGAGAATATCTGTTTTCATCTTTTGTAGTTTATTCAATATATTGATGAATTTCATGATTTGTTGCAATAATATTATTGTATGCAAAATATACACTAGACATTGGAGCTTGAAATTTATAAAACTCATCAGTATAAACTACATATTACTTTAAAATATATAGATATATATTCATATAATCATATCATAAGCAGAGTGATTCTCTATTTAAATATAACAATAATAAATCGAGAATTAACACTGTGCCAAAGGTACTTGAACTGACAAAGAAAGTTAAATCAAAATAATTGTACAGTTAATGAAACAAACTAATATATACAACATTTTCAAAGCGAGGGATTTGCAAATCGTATAAAATAAAATCACGTGACACTACCAAAAGGAAGGTTACATGATGGACTTAAACAAAGTTTAAAATTATTACGAATAATGACAACTAGGGATCTTGACAATAGTAGAGAATACGTAGAAGCTAATAGCTGTAGAATATACAGAGTGCTTTTGCGGACAGATATAATGAAATATCTATTTGGAATCAAAATACAGGGTGTCAAATCAAAAGAGAAACGTCAAGCGATACTTCTACGACACGAGCGTTCTAGACAACTAAAGCTGTAGGTATTTAAGAGTCACTTTATATGTACACAATCATTTTAATACATAGAGAAGTATTGTTCGATGACTTTAGTACCTCTGTATTGTACATACATTTAAATGATGATTTAAACATTTTAAATAGAATATCAACTTAGATTTCTGACAAAAAGATTAAAAAAACCGAATCATCTCAGTTAAGTATTTAATTGTTCATTGCTAAATTGGTATTCCTGAAATATTTTCTACGCGTATTAGAAATCGATTAATCGAAAATGTGAAACAACAAAGTTATTTCTTACATTATGAAAGTGTGTTTTCATGATAGTTTATAGTGTGAATCACAATCATCTATGTATGGTCTTCATTTTGTTAGAAGCTAGGTTACATTTTGTTTGTAGGTGGTATGATACTTTCTATTTGCGCCAAAAATATTTCGTATAGAATGGGAATGTTGGATGTTTTTATTATTTATTATACATTTAAAGCTACTGATACTACTAGAAATATTATAAGTGGTTTGGACTGTTTTATATTTAGGTGACCTTATCTTAGACAAACAACGTTGTTACAATAGAAATAGCGAAGCTATAACACATTAATACGGTAATGGCGTTGTTTCGTCTAAACGTTCTTTTCTTAATTAGTGCGAATTTAAAATTGAGGTCCAATTCGTATGTTTCTAAAAGTAGTTCCGTAGGGAATGCAAATTATTTAGCTGTTAATATAATTTTTATTTGTAATAAAAATCATGTTAATTTTAAGGTAGTAAACGTTTTCATATTCGTTTCAGGTTTATATTACTCGCTAGAATCGTTAAGCAAAAGTGTATTGTTTTAAAGTACATACTTAATAAAATAATAATAGTACGCGTATGTTTTTTATTATGTGGCTTATCTAACACAAGTTCTGGTATTATAGTATTAAGTGCAGGTAAATGTATGATATTATGTTTCGAACACGATGCTTCCTCAAGAACCTTGGTCACAATCCTGCCCACCCAGGCACCAAACATTCCCGTGATACCTGACATGCTGAACTCTGCTCCATCGTGTACCTACATCCTACAGCTCACTGGATCATCCAAATTCCTGGTAAGAGTTTTCCTTACGTTTAATTTGTCTCCTAGTGTTTCCATATTTTAAACTGTTTCGTAATCATCATTTTAAAAAAGGTTTTAAGATGGAACCCCTTTACAGCTTTTTCCTTTATTTCCATTTCCATCCGTGCTATCATTTGATTGTCATCTTGTACGCCCATTAACACGAAGTTTTAACTCGTCTGTGGCTCCCAATGAACGGGCGCACATCTGTTGTTACTTTGATTGAGAAAATGTGACTTTAGATACCTTAGTCTGATCACCCAAAAGCATGTTACACAAAAGTATCGTATGTTTCAGGATCACGATGGAGACAGCCGGGCTCCCCCTGCCGGGCTACCACTACATCGCTCCGAACCACATTGTGAAGGCGCCGATCCATTGAATGGGGGTCCGCGGCCAGACCCCGAGTGTTGCATACAACTTGTACCACACTGACCGCACGTTTCTCACGCAGCCGCAATTCGGGACTCTGGCTCCGATATACTTCTTCAAATGAACGTGACCAATCTCTAGATCGAGGAAACAATTGAGCATTGAATCCTTGCTGAATGTATGTTTACATTTGTTACGAGTTTATAAGTATTTTAGATATTCTTATATTTATTCTCCACTGTATTTGATTAATTGGAGCAGACGATGTCAGTAATTTATATATCGATGAGACCAGGTACGGGGTTTTGAAAAAAAAAGGTTTAAAATGAAAAACAAAATGACTGACATTTTAAAATTTAAACTAATCCGTGATCAGTGAACGCACCGCAAATTCGCAAAGCACTTATTTTCAATAATAAACAATTGATTAACGTTTTCGTTTAAGATTCACTGTTCACGGCTTATGAATTTATAACAAAGTATGCAACAGGAGTTAGCTAAGCTGATCGAATTTACTATGGATTTAAGCGGTTGAGTATTTCAATTGTCTATTGGATTTATTTTCCATTATGATCAGTACCGACCACAAGTAATAATGTTCAAAGTAAGTTTAATCGAGTGTCGGCGTACAGTAGGTAGGCGTAGATGCGTGACAATCGACCTCGGGCTCGCTGACGTAGCGTAGTGTTAGAATAGCGAACAGAGTGAGAGGGTTTAAAGACAATATTTGTAAATAAATAATCGTAATGACCTGGGGAATTAGGAGTTACAGTAGTTGCGGCGCACGGACGCGACGCGCCGATACGAAACCGGTGGGATCAAATCCTTTAAGAAAACTTACTTTAAATCGAAGACAGAGGTGAAGTGAACATTTCAGTATATTATCATTTAAAGTCGTCTGATTCACAAAAAAAAAGACGTTAGGTGTATAAAAATAGTGTTGCTAAATGTGATAGTCTTCTAATTTATTTTAAATTTGAACTTTAAAGATCTCTAACGTATACACAATGTGTAGATGCATCGGCTGCTGGGGAAAATTAAGTCGAATAAATAATATTGGTCTAGGGATCAAAGCCAAAGATTGTTGAAGTTTGTTTAACATTAATAATGTTGTGGATTTATGCTAAATTATTCGGAAAGTAGTTAATGTTTAGTAATGTAACTTAGAAAATGATTATTTTGAATTATTTTATCACCCTCTCCAGACTGCTCATCGTATTTAGTCTTAGATGAAATATAGTCCTGTGGTAATCTAAATATTCCCAAAAAAATCTAAAAAAAATCACATAGGTTAAAGTAGGGTAAGATAACTGTAGGACCACGGTATTAAAATATTTCCAGTAAATGTAATTTTACTCGCATAAACAACAAACAGTGCCACGACTCCACAAATATCGAGTGCCAAAATACTTTGGATATTAATTTCGTTAGTAACACCTGATTAACACGTGGATTTTCAACACGATATAGAATAAAATTTACAATAAATATCAGATTAATAACAATTACTTAAGATTATGGTATTATCCACTATATCTACTTATTAATTTTGCACCCTAGTTGTAAGATTACACAATTAGACTTATATTCTCGAAACATATCCCGATAACATATTTCCCAAGTCTTCCCCTGCAGTATTTCAGTAATTAATGTTTGTGCCAAAGCTGCGTCTAAAATGTATTTATACGTATCTGAATGTGACATCGTTATGTTACTATTGATTAATTAGTGTATTTTGTTCGTATTGTCGGCCGTTAAGCTAGTCAAATAACTCTGAAAGTATAAAATTTGCAAATTTTTAATAATGCTAGTCAAAATTTTTATTTCTCTATCGGTGTATTTGCGTTATGTTTATGAAATTTTATATTTTTTTTATTTCTGCAGCTGAAGTTTTAAAAATATTTTTGTGTGGTTTTGCTTCAAGTAAATTAACTTAGCAATAAAAATTTTGATAAAATCAATTATTTATAGTCTATTATATTGCAATTAAGACAATGTATAGAGCTTTGTAAAATAAGTACCACACAGGTAAAATAGAATTAATCTATAGATATAACTTTGTGAGAAGGTAATTAAAAAAAATAAAAGATAGTAATTTACTAAAGAGAAGAGATTTCATAGCTGTGATTAACGTTTGGGGTTGCACTTTTGTGCAAATGCAACGTCAGAATGATGTACACGCGTTATCGGAATAGGGATGCAGGTAGTAGTGTTTAGTGCACGCTTGTTAGGACGAGTCGGGTGAACACCGCGGGCCGCGCCTTGGGACGTGGATGAACTATTTATATATGAACTAATTGACAAGGCACATGCTTTCTCATAAAGAAGTTATAAATGTATAAGTCATTGGTGTTTCGAATAATATTATTAATATATATAGTACAATGCAATTTCAGATGATTAGTGAATAATTATTAGGTGTTAATTTACTATTGTACTATAATTGTATTACTACGTTGAGTTGACGTATCGTATACACAAAACTCGATATTATCTTTATTGTACTCATTGTGTAGAGCAATTATTATCATTCGTATTGTTATTGTTGTTTTTTATTTGCTCAATTTTTTCAATGTTAATTGTAAGCTAGGCTTCTAAATTATATTTAATTTGTTTTGTTATTGTCAATCAGCAATATTATTGTAATGGTTTAGCGTTTGTGTAAAATACACAGTATTTGTGTGCGTTGTAATTGTATTATTGAATACTGATAATAATGACATTATTATACTTGTTTTTGACTCAACATATATGTTATAGGCGGGATACGTGGCATGATCCTTATGTTACAAATTATATCAAATAATTACATATTTACAAAAAACTATATTACTTATCATTAAACGTTTAAGATTTTATTTACTATTACATAACTTAATCGACTACGTATCGTGACCTATAACATTTTATCGTTTCGATTTATAACTCTTGTATGTTGATGACCGCTGAATTTTTATTTACGTATGTTTAGAATATCAAGGTATTGAGAATATCGGTTGGCTTACATTCAGTATTTTTAAACAGGACAGTAATTTGAAACGAGGTCTCTTAGAATTTGTGTTTATTCAAATTATAAACTAAAGTCCTTACGTGGCTCATGGGCTCTTTACTTTGCTTGTAGTGCGCGTGTATAAGACACTAAACTAAAAGTTGGTGCCTTGCGTTTTAAGAATTTGTTTCTGCATATTATTTTAGACCTTAAGACGTACGAGTTACGTATCTTTTGTATCGTGTTATTGAATTATTAGCCTTTATTGACAGGGTCGGACTGCGCTGTATAATAGTGTAATTAAATCCATTTTTAGCAAATATTTATAAATGTAATAGTGAATTTCTTTACAATTGTCGTGTTAGCACATGTATTTGAGACTCTTATTGCACCGTTTTCGAGGATCCCTTTCTTGAATTTTACGGTTAATACATAATATTAAAATTTGACATATTTTAAATAAAAATGCTTAAATGCAGTCAAAGTCATTCGTTCGCGATTTTCAATTGGTGACATTGAAGTATCGTATACACACATAATAATATTTTGCTATGTCTTACTAAAACTATTCACGTACAGGTTCGAGAAATTTGGGTAAAAAGGGTTGTGTAATTTATTATGCATATACAATATCCACAATATTCGCTTCGGGCCCCTTGTAGGTACACTACGATTTCATTAGATCTACAAAATATTCATCTCGTATTATGTATGTAGTGAACCAGGGTAATCATAATACAGATATTCTCGTTATATACGTTCATTTTATCTTACACGGTTGTATAGTTCAAATGTATGTTTCCGAATGCAAATAAATAAATTATATTTTAAACAATTACGTATTTGTCTTCACAGAACAGTAAGATGCGTGTTATTATATTATAATGTATGTGAGTTATCGTTTGTTACGTTTTGTCGGTTGCAATTAATGAAAATTATAACCATAGTCTTCTTTGTATACGAACGCACTAGTTGTGTGGTTCTAACATTAGCCATGTAGAATAACAATATAATGTCAATGTATATGTGAGTAGACTATGTTGATTTCTCAGTTTCAACATATTTAGTATTAAAGTTAATAGTAATTATTGACTGAGTATAGTTAAGAATTTTAATGTCAAAAATACAACAAAGATATGTGATGTTTTTGTTTAACTGCTGTTACTTCAATAAGCATTTAATTTTTATATTCAGATATCATTATTAACCATAAAAGGTATTTTTCTTCTTTACCTATCTTTGAATAATAAAGTAATTTAACAATGACTAACGTTCAAATCACATCACGATGGAATACTTCATTAAAACATTTTTTTATGTCAGTTATTCTACTCACCTACTAAGTCGAGTGTCATACTTTAGAATTCTTGTAATAAAATATGCTCACATAACTTTCAATTCCCAATATGCATACATAGTGTAGTTTCAATTTCCTGAAAAATCACTATTGAAGAGAAATGCCTCGTATTTTGATTATAGTCCATTCGTGTTAAGAAAATAGTGACGCATTGATCAAGCCCCGCACCGTGTCCATTCAGGTTCCAGGCTTCGTACGAAACAATCATTTTTTGGAATCTGATTGGGCGGATCGTTTTGCCATTTTTTTCTTAACACGAATGGACTGTACAAAATGACTAACTGAATGGACGGTCTACCTATAAGACCATTTAACTAAACATAGTGATGTAGTCTCATTACTAGACTTATGAAATCAAGATGGTCATATGGCTGTAAGTGTATAAGAATTATGTGAAAGTAGCCAGTGAAATCGACGCTATGGTCGGGTGGCATTGCGGCATTTTATGCGAGAACATCGTAATAATCAACTTTGTTCGAATGTGTGGACAATATGGCGTTCGGGTGAAATTGTGAAAATATACATGAGTGAGAGAGTTGGAAATCTAGTAATAAATATTGGTTGTGCAATTAGATTCGCTGTATATTTGATTGCCAAAATGTCGCCCGAATAAGGAGTGTTAGTGATTGTGTATTACTGATTAAAGGGAACTATCGGAGTAAATTAGTGTAACAAGTGTATTGAAAATGCAAAGAAACATGCAGTATAATCTAGTTT